CAGGAAAATTACCATATGAAGTGTGTGAAGTGTGTCATTAAAACGGTTTACCATTACTTTTGACACACAAAATTAAATACAAATTTATGTTTGTCTTTCATGTAAAACTGTATTTATTTTTTCAAGGTCCTGTAGAAACAGAATCATAAAAAAAAATGCCTTTTCATCAAAACAAATATGCAAAAACTCAAACCTTTTCAATGAAATTTCCCAAAAAGTAAATGTAAGTCCCTGTTATACACCCAAAGCATGCCATTTTTTTTTCAACAAGCTTGAGAAAAAGTGTTAGGTTTAACATGAAGGTATGGTCATACCTTTTTTTAAGTATAGTCGGGGGAACTAAACACCAATCCAACACACTGAAATGCTTAACTGTTATCTCTCGCTGGTTTAAGAGTGAGAAACCTAACATGTACGGTATTTGCAAAACATCCATTCATTAAGTAAAGTCCAGGCAGAGTTGATTCACATCTGAACATTAAGTGACAATTATTAAGATTATTACATTTTTCCTGAGCCCAGATCAGCTAATTCAGAGATTCCAAACCTCAAACACACACATACATATATCTAGACTTTATCTGATGCAAGTGTGACCTGCTCTCCACAACACTTTAATATTTTAATATGTAATGAAAGCATGCCAGCTCTCAGATTAAAACTGGCTGAGAAGATAGAGCGCATGCATGATGGGACAAAAAAAATAAATAAAAAAAAACAGATCTGCACGTGACCATTAAATAGTAGGTTAAAATGTTCTCTAGATAATTGCTGGCATCTATAGGAGGACACTGCAGCTGAAAGGCTTGGGCTTCCTGAATGTGGAACTGAATGATTAAATGTTTTTCCAGAGGGATAATGTGATATAAAATGTTTGTAACATGCTAATTTTTTTTTTTACAAAGAAAAGGAAAACTGATTATCAGTTTTTTTTTGTTTGTTTAAATCCTTAAAAATGTTGATGTATCTCTCCCCTCTGAGACTATACTTTGCAGAAGCACCTCCTACTGCAATTACTAGTGTAAGCATTTTCATGTGTGTCTCTACCAGCTTTGCATAACAAGTGATAAACATTTTTGTTTTTCATTCTTGGTTTGAAAATGATTTTATCACACTTAGATTAGATGAATGGTGTCGGGGAACAACAAGTTTTAAGTTTTCTTTACAGAATATCAATTCAAAGGAGATTTTAATTAACATTGGGTTGGGAGGGGATTGGGTTGTGTAGGCATTTGACAGTGATAGTGGTGTCGAACATGGCCTCATGGTGATAAACTGAAGACAATAAGCAAATGATGAAAATGTTGTTCTTGGTAACAAAAGAGTTGGAATTCGACACAATAAATATCAAATCAGTAAATACTGGTTAACACAATTTTACCTTAACTGTTCAAGTGGAGCTCCAGCTGCATATTCTACTAACTGTTCTTGACAAAATGAAAAACTGCTTCATGTTAGAGTCTTTAGTCAGATGAGATTTTAGCTCCCTCCACCTTCCAGTTCAATGAAACTACCCTTACTCTCTCTGCCGAAGAAAAAAAACCCACAGAATAATTCTGCAGTCACCATATGCCATCAGGGGATCTTAAGGATTATGAGCAGTGTTGGTTTTCTGCTGCACAGAGTTTTGGATAAAAAAAACAAGAAGTTACATATCATCTCCTCTTTTTTTTGGTGAAAATGTTTTCTGGCTTCTCTACCTCGCTTCTTGCCAACTGTTTATATAAATATATAAATTATGTATGAAAAGTATATATGAATATGGCTTCTATGATATGTTTGGAAATTCTCCATAACCTTTGTCCAGTTGTATTTATTGTTTTTGTCTTTTTTTTTTTTTTATTAATACCAAACATCAGAGTGTTTTAACTTCTATTGTAAGTGTTGTATTTGTGCTCCATTTCCTACTGTAATTACTTGATCTCTGAAATGCTTTTTTTTATTAACCAACTTTTATTACCAGCATAAAATGTGCTACAGTATATACATTACAAACTATCAAGATCTTTATCTTTAAAGATAATGTTTGTATCCTTTCATTTCACAACAAACTAGTTTGTGTATCTCATACATAATACGCAGTAAAGTATACTGGGGTATTTGACAGTAATTCTTTTATATTTAAAGCATTAAATGGGTTTAGATAGTTTTGTTAGGTGCTGTTTTTTTGTATTATTTATCTGTTTATTTATTTTTTA